TCAAGGACCGCCTCCCCCGCCCCCCTGGCCTGGCATCTCCCTGAGCCTGCGCTTCGCCTCTGCTTTAAGGCCTTCTTCCCCTTGAGATGGGTGGGACACTCCCCCTGCTCCCCCGGCCCGGGTCCCAGGGCCCCCGACGGGCTGGTGGGTTCACTGACTTCAGCAGCTGTTCTGCGAAGCACCTGCCATGTGCCGGGCGCTGCTCCAGACATCGAAGGTGCAGCAGCGGCGCAGGTGGACAGGTCCCTGCCCTCACTGGGGAGGTGGGCAGCCAACCAGTAAGCACTATGGTACTAGTGGACGGCCAGGCCACTGCTGCCCAGCTCCCAGAAGCAAGCCGGTGTCTGAGTTTCCCACAGATGCCGGAACAAATGTCCACAAACTGGGTGGCTTATGACAGAAATCCGCACCAGTTCTGGGGGCCAGAAGTTAATGCTGGCAGGGCTGTGCTCCCTCTGGAGGCTCCTGGGGATGGCCTCCTGGATGGCCGCCTCTTAAGATCCTTCATTATATCTACAAGGACTCTTTTTCTCAATGCAGCCACATTCACAGTTTCGGGGCTTAGGTTGTGGACATGTACTGGGGGCCACCATTCAACCTGCTGCTCTGGAGAAAGAGCCCTTGTGCTCATCGAGGGGCGTGGCACCGAGCGAGTTCACCTCTCCTCCTCCTCCCTGCGTGACCTGCTCCTTTCTTCACCTTCCTGGTTGTCAAACTTCATTGCCAGGGTGTGACCAAAGGTTAAAGGAAAGCTCATCAGACAGGGGGAGAACAATTAGATGGAAAACAGCACATGAATAATTCATGCAGCTTTGCAGGGGGAGGGGGGTGGGGGGCTTGTAGATGAGTCCAATTACACTCGTTCCCCAGGGAGGCCAGTTTGCCTTGAACCTCATAAAGCTCCACCATGTACAAGTGGGATTTATGCAGCTGACCATGAAATGGGGGAGAGGCCACGCCAGGGTCAGGTCTCCAAATGAAAGCGTGCTCCAGGATCATGCCCAAACCCTCATTTTGCAAATGGGGGATACTGAGTCTTGAGGAACGGGAATGACGTTTGCACGCAACACTGAGCATTCCAGAGAGAGTGAACACCACATGTTCAGCCTAGGGTCCCCAGCTTCTCACCCAGGACAGGTCCTGCCAAAGTCAAAGCCACCACGTATGGTCCCAGTTGGACCAAATATCTCCCGGTCCATGTGCACAAGGCCACATGGGTGTGAGTCTAGGAGGCATGTTTGCAGCATCTGTGTGGGGTGCAATGATCACACTATGGAGTCTTCTTCTGAACCTGCCTCCCTTGTGAGTAGTCTGCCTTCAGGCCCGGCTTTATGATGTGATGAAGGGAATTTGACAGGGACAGGCCCCCTCTGTACCCATCTGCACCCACGAGGAGCCAGGTAGCAGGTGCAGGGCTGGTCCTGTAGTGAGCTGAGCAGGAGGTCTTAGAGAGGCCGCCGTGGGAAGAGGCTGGGTAGCCGTGCCCTGAAGGATACTGTGCTGTCCTGCGGGGCGCGGGCATGGCTCTGCACCCTGGGATTCAGAGGTGTGAGACTGCCTGCTCCGCCTCAGGGAGCCCTTGCCCTGCAGGGGCCCTCGCACATTGGCTGTGATTGTGGTTGTGTCTTCCTCCACTGGGGTCCCGTGGAAGTGTTACCCATCCATCTTTCCCCAGCACCCCTGTATCCAGAGTCCTTTGTTTGAAACAGCAAGAGATTTCCGGAGTGATGCTTGAGCTGTAAGAACTGTGGTCCTGGGCTGTCAGCGGGACCCCGGTATGGGAGGCTCTGTCTCCCGAGCCCACACACAGGATCCTCGGTCCATGTGCCACGCCCTTGGCCCCTCTGTGTCACCAGTTTGGGCCTGCTCGCTGCAGAGGGCTGCAGACGTCACTGACCCCCATGGGCTTCTAAAAGCCGTCACGCCTCGTACGTATTTCTAATGAGCGTTGTCATGAGGCGGTCAGGAGTGGTTAAGCATGATGGGGTCGCAGGAAGCGTGCACTCTGGACTCCAGCAAAGAGGCCACACCCCATTCGCTTGGCCTTGGGCCCCTCATGGGTCTGGGAGCAGCATGTGGGGGCCGGGGGAGGAGGCTTCTGAGCCCCCACCCGCACTGCGCTCCCTTCCTGAACACCAGTGTGCACAGCGTCTTGGTGAACAGATTTTCATGAGCATCAGCCTCCGTCTCCACGGGCCAGACGCTGAGTAAATGTGGGCGGCCAGTGACTGAGCTCCTGCCCGAGACTCACGACGAACGACAGAAACAGAACAACAGTTGTGGTCGGGTGTGTACGAGTTTTGGTCTTGGAGGCAGAGCGATCAGGGCTCATACGTCACACCTCTGATCCTTCTCCGTTGAGCTGCGTTCTAGAACATCCCGATGTGAGACAGTGAAGAGGGTTTGGACGCTGAGTGGGTCGGGAGGGTAGGTTATGGGCAGAAGCAGATGATTGGAAGGTCTGAGGCTTGAAACAGCCCAGGGGGATCTCGTAGCAGGCCACCTGAGGCACGGGTCCCACAGCAGAGGGGAAGGTGTCACGGCGCACCACGTGCTGGCTCTCAAAGCTTCAGCCTGGGAATGACGCCTGGTGCCTGTCACTTCTGCCCTCCATTCGGAAAAAGCAATAAGGGCGCAGTTGCCCTGAATTCCGTGGGGCCCACGGGCAGGTCCCCCCACCTCTTCCCGGAAGGGAAGCTGGAGTTGTTGGCAAGACGTTTCCACCTTATCCCACGGAGTCCTGCTCCCCTAGAAGTTGTAACCCGATGAAACACGGTGTCCCCTAATACATGACACACTGGTCTCCAAGCCGACCTGTGTTCCCTGAGGCCTGGGCACTTCTGTGTCCCCCAAGCTTCCTTGGACTTTGTGGCTCGAGTTCTGCAGAGAGGATTTAGTTCCCCTGGTGCAGAGCATCAAACGGGTGCTGTGCTCATGTGCGTGACATTTCATAAACGGCCGCACGTTTTCCCCGGACACCAATTTAAGTTGAGGGAGAAATTGAAGCGGTTCCCAAGCAGGCCTCTGTAGACGCTTAGCCCCTGAAGGACGGGGATGGAATTAGCAGCACAGAAGTCTTGGCTTTTTCTCTCTTACTGTTCAGTCTCATTTTTCAAGATTTAATCTCTGCTTCTTATCGTCCCAGAAAACCGCAGTTTCCTGGGAAATCAGCTCAGGCTCCTTCTTCCTCCTCTCTATATTTTTATGTGATTCTAAGTTTCTGGTTAAGGAGGTGCTTCCAGAAGCAATATTTGAGCATGAGCACACAGACCCTCCTTGGTCCCCCTGGTCACTCAGATTCAACATTTTTTTTTTAAGATTTTATTTATTTATTGAGAGAGAGAAACAGAGTACAAGCAGGGGGAGCTGTGGGCAGAGGGAGAGGGAGAAGCAGGCTTCCCGCTGAGCAGGGAGCCCGATGCGGGGCTCGATCCCAGGACCCTGGGATCACAACCTGAGCCGAAGGCAGACGCTTAACGACTGAGCCACCCAGGCCCCCGGATTCAACATTTTTTTGTGACGTTTTATAAACTCTCCTGTTTACGAAAGTCACAAGATGCCCCTTTATTGAGGCGGTGGTGGGAGGGGGAGGGAGGACTGATGGCAGGCGAGGCTCAGAGTTTCAATCAGTATTTTCCAGATGACAGAAAGCAGTAATGTCCCTGATATTCACTGAGCTCTGTGGTGTGTCAAGCAGTGAACAAAGGCCTTGGCCTCTCCTAGTTTAGTTTTCACAGCAAGACTGTGTTAGAACTGTTGGCCCATTTTACAGATGAGGAAACAGAGGCACGAAGAGCTAGGGAACTTCCCCTCGATTGCACGGGCAAGAGGTGATAGAGATGGGATTCGAAGCCCAGACTCTGACTCCAGGACCCACACACAGATGCAGAGGGAGGAGGGGGTATTTCAGCCAGAGGGGTAGGTTGGGCAGAGCCTCACGCAGGGCCGGGGAGACCAGAGACCAGGGTGTCGCTGTCAGAGAGGAAAGCGCCTTTAGGGCCCAGCGACTAGTTGGATCTGAAGCTGGAGAGGTAGAGAGGGGCTATGCCAGGCTTTGAATGCTACACCAAGGGGTTCGGATTTGCTGCTTTAGGCTACAAGCAATGGAATGGAACGCAGACTTACTACTTGCTGCTGAGCCATCCTGGACAAGTTGCTTACCCTCTCTGGGCTCTAGAGTATCTGTCAGGGATACTTTCTTTGCAAGCAACAGAATTCTTGATCTTAAACAGAAAATGGATTTATTGGCTCCCATGTTTAATCGTCCAAGGCTCATGGCTTCCATCCTGATTCAGGATTCAAAAGGCATCGCTGGGTCTCTCCCTCCGGTCTGCCCCACCTGCAAGCTCCGGGTTTCCCTTGTCCCAGCAGCACGTACACACCCCTCCTCTGCACACCACCCAGGCCAGTAGAGAGGTCAGAGCTGCCCCCAGCATGCCCCGCGTCTCAAGCCTGGAGTCCCTCTGCTGGTGCCTCAGAGGCCACGTGCCCCTCGCTCATGGTGACTGTGACTGAGTGGAAGCCGCAGGTGAGAGCGGAGAACCCAGAAAGGCAGAGAACCTTTTCCCCAAAGGAGAATCTTGATGCTGTGGACAGAAGGGGAGTGGGTGCCGGCGTGGGGCTCCCCGCACACTCAGCTCCGGGCACAACTCCCAGACTGACTGAAATTGTTCACCAAGAGTCCAGCACGTACTAGGCACTCAAACGCTCCTTGCCTTCTGCTTGGCACCTGGTGTGGGGGGTGGAGGGGAGGCTGGGCAGCTGGTGGGTGCTGGCTGGGGAGAGGGCATAGGTTGGGGTGGGGAGGCTGCAGGGACAGTGGACGGCACCCAGACGGGGCAACCAGCGGGCGGCTGGACATGCCGGTCTGCAGCTCAGAGACCATCTGGGGCTTTGTCCAGGGGTCTCGGGGATGGAGATGCAGCTCAGATGCAGGGTAGGCGGGAAGGCAGAGCAGCGAGGGTGCCCTCCCTTCTCTGCCCTTTCCTTGACGGGGCCAGACATCGTGGACATCAAGCCGGCCAATATGGAGGACCTCACGGAGGTGATCACGGCGTCGGAGTTTCACCCCCACCATTGCAACCTCTTTGTCTACAGCAGTAGCAAGGGCTCCCTGCGTCTCTGCGACATGCGTGCAGCCGCCCTGTGTGACAAGCACTCCAAACGTAAGTGTCCACGCCAGCCGGGACCCGGTGCAGAGTGGGGACGGCAGGGCAGCGCCCGTCCCGGTGCTGGTGCCCTGGGGCGGGTGGGAGTGATGCAGGCATGTGCTTTACCGGCTGGCGCAGGGGAAGCTGGTCTGGCCACCCACTGCCCCCCAAGTCCCCAGACAGATACTGCCCAGCTTCCAGGGACCAGACAGCTAAAAGAAGGGTCAGGGAGCCAGAAGCTAAGGAGGGACCATACTCAGCAGTCACTTCCTCCAGGAAGCCTTCCCTGATCCCCACATTGGTTCAAGCCCCTTCTCTGTGCCCCTCTCTCAGACTGGCTGCACCCTGAAGAACTTTCTATAGGTTGGGGTATCTCCCCCAGCAGCCTGTGAACTCCACGAGGTCACTTCCTCCTGCTGGAACCCGCCAAAGGGCCAGCCAGGGAGGGGGATGCCTGAACGAGGTCCAGGGAACGCGATAAGACAACCCCCGTGACCACACGACAGCCCCCACTCACTGGATGTGCTGAGCCAGTCACCCAGACAGCTCTCACCCACTTCATCTCATCCTCACACGGGCTCTGATGGGGTCCTGAGCGGGATAGGAAACCGAGGCTCCAGGGATGGGTCCAAGGTCACCCAAAGTGACAAGTGGCGAGGCAGAACTTGAACCCAGGACTCTGAGATGCCCCGGTTGGGGCTCTCACCTCCAGGTCGGGCTGGTTGGTGCTGGATTCCCCAGAGGCCCCCGAAGGCAGAGGATCAGGAGGTCAGGCCGTGGTGTCCTCCCTGGGTGACCTTGCAGTGGCAAGAGGGTGGGGACTTCGGTTCATCTCTGTATCTACCCCAGTACCTACGACAGTGTCTGGAAATAAGCACTTGTTGAGTGATTGAATGAATTAATGACCAATAGGTCCCTGGAGGCGGTTTTATCGAGGTCTGTTGGGAGGGACGGGATCACTCTTTTCCCCTAGGGGGCCTGGTTTCCCTGGGCAGTCCAAGAGGGTGGCTGTCAGCCGGCTCGCAGGGACTCGGGCTCAGGACCCTCTGCGGCTGCCAACCCCTCCCCACTCCTTGGCCAAGTCCGGGCCCCCTACGTCTCCCCACACTGCTCTTCTCCGGGCAAGCCCACGCTCTGCAGTCCCTCTCCGGGGCTTCCTCACCGGCTTCCTCACAGGGAACCACGTCCCTTTTCTGGGTTTGCACGTGCTCCAGCAGCTGTCGCCTGTCCCTGAGCCCAGACCTCTCCCACAGGAATGCCTTTGTCCCCAGCACTGAGCCCTCCTCCTCCTGAGGGCTGAGTGGCCAGCACTGAGGGTGGCAAGAGCAGATCTCCCTCTGAGCAGAGCCGAGCCCCCACCTGCTATGCTCCAGACACTTCCTGCCATGGTGGGTGCAGCAGGAACTAGCAGACAGACGATGAACTCCTCACTGGGTCGTGTGATGTCAGGAGGTGGTGACAGATATAGCAACAACAGCCACCAAGGAGCGGGGCGCAGGGAGAGTCCTCTCCCTGGAGAAGTTACAATGGAACAGACACCCTGGGCACCGTTGAGCCATGCAGTCTCTGGGGGGGAGAATGTTCTAGAAGGGGGACACTGCAGGCTCTGAGATGGAACCTGAGATGCAGTGACCAAAGGGAAGGGTGCTGGGAGCTGAGGTCAGAGAGACACACAAGGCAAGTAAGTGACTTCGGGCGCCCGTAGGTCCCGGGAAGGATCCGGTTTTATTCTAAGTGAGGTGGGAAACCAGCAGGGGGCTGAGGGCAGGGCATGATGTCACGAGACAGGTGTTTGGAAAGAAGAGACTGCAGAGGGGTCAACGTAAGCAGGGGTGGGAGGAGCCCCGGCCAGGGTTCTCACTGAGAAGAAACAGTGCAGCCTGGGTGGGATGGCCAAGGTGGGGAGACAGGCCCCATTCCGGGTGTTCTTTGAAGACTGAGCTGGCAGCCTTTGGCAAGTGGGGTGTGGACCATGATGACTCTGAGGTTTGGTTTGCGAGGTGGGTGAAGGTTGGGTCCTGTCCTGGGACGGACAACGGGCATGCTGGGAGCGGGGCCGCCAGGAGCAGAGGTGGGACCAGCAGGCTGGTGTTGGACACGGTACATGTGAGATGGTGTTGGGCTCCAGGGAGGGCTGTCAAGAAGGCCGCCGGATGCCTGGAGTCAGGGGCGGGGTCCTGGCTGGGGATAAAGCGTGGAGTTGTCACCAGTGTCTGAATGGACAGGAAGCCCAGGTGTGCGTGTGGACGGCGCCCAGCCCCCTAAGAGAAGCCCGGGGCTGTATCGAGGTCCCAAGGCTGCCCAGACAGATGACCACAGACTTAGCGGCTTAACACGACACCGATTTTTTTTCTTTTACAGTTTTGCAGTTCGGAAGTCTGACATGGGTCTTACCTGACAAAAATCAAGGTGTCGACAGGGCTGGTTCGTTCTGGAGGCTGTAGGGGGGAATCCATGCCTCCCCCCTTCTCCAGCCTCTGGGGGCGCCTGCCATGCCTGGTTCCCTGCCCCTCCCTCCATCTGCACAGCCAGCCCTGGCTGTAGGATTTCTCACGCTGCATCACGCTCACTCAGTCTCTCCTGCCTTCGCTTTCCCTTTTAAGGACCCTGGGGATCCCATTGGGCCCACCTGGATAATTTAGCTGATCGGCAATTTTAGTCTCCCCTTTGCCATGGAATGTAACATATTCCCAGGTGCTGCGGATTAGGGTACAGACAGCTCTGGGGGCCATTATTCTGTGGCTCAGGCCACAGGTGGCCTGGAGATTTGTCTGTGTGCAGCTCTGGGTCAGACTGGCACGGAATGAGGTTGGGGAAGAGTCTGGGCTCCACTCCTGGACCCAGTCTGAGCCCATGCAAGCCCCATGGGAAGGAAGTAGGATGAGACTTCATGGCCCAGCCTTTTTTATATAAAGTGACCAAATTCAGAAACACTCTAGACGTCCAACAGAGCAAATGACAAGTGAATGATGATGCCATCTGTATACTGCAGTGTTTAGTCATTTAGAATGTTGATTTAGAAGATTTTTAATGACACGAGGAAATGATTATGTTAAAATATCTGGTGGGGGTAAGAAAGCAAGGCAATGACTATTTTCCAAAAAAAAAAAAAATGGAAACAGAAATAGAAAACAGGGGAAAGAAATATGCCAAGAAATAGTCCCTGAGCGGTGGGCTCTGGAAAGTGATACCGTGTTCTTCTCTACATCTGTCTGTATATTTGCATTTTAGCTCGGATTTCAACTCTGAATCAGGAAACAGGTGTGTGTGTGCAGGAAGGCTGGTGGTATCTGGGGAAGAGAGAGACAGCCTCGTGCACCCCACACTGTTATGACGTTTCTTGGCGGGCTGGAGGTGGAAGTCAGTCCTTCTTGGCTTTTGTCATCCGGTTCCCTAGGAGTCTGAGTGAGCGGCCACCCACAAGGCCAGCCATCACTTCCCAAGTGTAGCACACACTCGAAGATTCTGGGCCGTAGCTGTCACACGCCTGGGGTGGGGGTGGGGGTGGGGTGTCTGCTGCATGTGAATCAGCCCATAAACTCCAGAGTGCAAGAACTTGAACTTCATTTTGGATGACTCAACTCCATTTGTGTTTCTCGCCTCCTCTCCCAGGGCTGCCGGGAACATAACAACTTCAGGGTTGCCCAGAGATCATGCGGAGGTTCCAGAAGGCTTTCGCAGGGCCCAGGCATGAAGGGAGGGTCACCGTGGCCTCTGACCACCATGATCTTTTGCTGTGCCTGGGTGCCCCGGGGCCAGGGCTCTTGCTGAGACACTTTTGCATAAATGCAAAAATTCTGCTTTTTGCATAATAATTCATAGGTGAAATTGGAAATTGGTCTTCAACTGTCTTTTTTTATGCTCTCTTTGCCCAGTTTTATTTGGATTCTTCTACTCTTGGAAGACGAGCTGGGCCACTCTCTTTGCCTGGAATGGTTAGTTTAATCTCTAACTTGAAGTCTTAGAGACTAACTCGTAGATCTGTTTTGATGGTTGGTTTGTACAGGTTTGCTATCGGAATAGATGGTGTATTTTCAATTTTTTCCATTCTCAAACCCAGTATCATGCACAGGAAGCTCTCCTTTAATGCCCGTAAGGGGATCGTTCACAGTCTCTTTCCACCAAGTGTGCTTCGCTGCTTATTCTCCTGCTCTCGTGTCGTCGTGAGTGAGCGGATGGAGTGTCTGCTTCACCAGGATCAGATCCTGCTAGCTCGTAGCCCTCCTGAGGACTCAGGCGGGCGGCTGGCAGCCAGTTAGCAGGATGCTGGTGAGGCTGTTTCAGATCAGAACACAAATGGTGGTTGTTCAAGCCGAGTTTTTAAAGAGCCCCTGAGATTAGATCTCTTCCTTTATACCTCGCTTCTGCCCGTTAATCAGTGGCTGCTCCAGACTCAGGAGGGGCTGGTAAGGGCACCTGGAGATGCGTGGTCACGGCGTCATCCTCCCAACAGGTGAAACAGGGACTCTCCCTTCACTGGATGAAGAGAGTCCTGGATCACACAAGCGGATGTTTATTTCTGCCCTGGGCCAGCTCAGGAAACTGAGGCACAGAGCGATGCGGTGGCTTCCCCGGGCGCTCCGTCGGGGGGCAGAGCTGGGGTGCTCGGGCCACGCCGCTGCCCAGCCCACAGCCTCACGTCTTCCTCCAAAGCCGTGGAAATTCGAGGCTTTTGTCTGCTAGTCATTATGACAGGGTAACCATGGAAACACCCTCCGTGATGCCTCAAAATAGACAGTTATTTCTGCTTTCGACAGCACAGAGCGTGGGCTGGGCCGGGGCCCTAGAACAGGGGATCGTGTCAGCCGCTGCCCCTCGTGGCACCCCTGCGATGTGCTGGCTGGGACCTGACGTCTGTTGACTGCTTGCTACACGCGGGGGGACTACTGTTCTGGGTTCACGTCCCGATAAATCCTTGGAGCCGCCCTGGGGCGGAGGCACTCTGCTCTTGATCTAGACAAGGACACCGAGCGTCCGGCTTTTCTGGGTTGCTGTCACAAACTGCCCCAGATTTCATGGAGTGAAAACATAGACGTGTATTTTTACAGTTCTGGAGGGCGGAGGTCTAGAAGTCAGGCGCGGCTGCTTTTCTTCCAGAGGTGCCAGGGGAGAATATTTCCCTTGACTTTTCCAGCCTCTAGAGGACCCCGTGTCCCTCAGCTTGTGGCCCTTCCTCCATCTCCAGAGTGCGGCCTCCAGCCTCTGCTCCATCTCCCATCTCCTTCCTCTGCCTTTGACCTTCCTACTTCTCTCTCGTGAGGACCTTTGTGGGGACAGCGGGGCCGCCCGGAGAATCCAGGATAACCTCTGTAGCTCCAGATCCTTCCCCTAATCACATCTGCGAGGTCTTTTGCCATGTGGGGTAACATATGCCACATTCGGGGGATTAGGATGTGGACGTCTTTCAGTGCCAGTATTGTTTACCACATGAGCGGCACAGAGAGGTTAAGGTGTTCTCCCAAGGTCACACAGCTAGGGGGAGCTAGGATAGAGGCTCCAATAGTCCCACGCCTATAAATTTGTACCTTCTCTCACTTCATCTCCACTGAGATTTATAACTTGAGAACTAAGAACTCTCAGGGGGACTGTGGGTGAGCCAGGTTCATTGAAAGGGGCCGGGTGGGGTAGATCCCCAGGACTCACTCCTGATAATGGACCTGGGATAGAAGCACCAGGACCAGCCACCCTCTGCCGGGGAGGCTCCAGATACCTGGAGGCAAAGTCAGGGCAGTTGTCTCCAACAGAGGGACAGCCAGTACAAAGGCAGGAGTAGAGCAGGTAGAGGTGGGAGGTGCGGGCAGAGAGGTGTGTACTTAGAGGACGGTCCATAACCAGAGGATTTTACAGACCACGCGGGAGCTCTGGGTTTCCTCCCAAAGGCCAGGCGCCTCAGGGGCGTTTGAGCCGGGAGTGACCCGGCCTGGCTGTGTGTTGACGGGATCCCTCTGACTGCTGAGTGGGGAAGAATAAACGGTAGGGTGACGTTGGCAGTGGGGGCCAGCTGATGCTCAGAGCCAGGTGGGCATCGTGGAGGAGGGAAGGCAGTCCCGCACCCACATGCAAGGTCCGGCCTGCTGGCTTTGCAGGCCAGCGGAATGGAGAGGGTGGGGTGACGGCAGGCTGTGTGTCGAGAGCAGGCTCCCGCCCTTACGGAGCTGAGTGCAGTCGTAGGCAAACTGCCAAGTAAATGGGAGCATCGAAGCGGGGAACGTTTCTGAGGTTGTCCCCCTGCTGCAGTTGGCTCTTGATTAAGGTGGCCCGAGGAGGCTTCTCTGCACCTCAAAGAACAAAAGAGCCAGTGAGTGGGAGGAGAAGGGTTAGAAGGCGGGGCTAAGGGTCCCCAGCAGGTGGGAGGAGCCTGGGAAGAGAGGGAGCAGAAGGCGGGGCTAAGGGTCACGGCCGGTGGGAGGAGCCTGACTGCAGTGGGGGGAAGGGGCAGGCTGACAGGTGCCAAGACAGAGAGGTGGGGGCAGATCGTGTGGGGCCAGGGCCACAGTGAGGGTTGGATTTATTTTTATTTTGTCTAGTGGGGTTCATCAAACGGTGCCAAGCAGGGGACGGTCATTAGCAGAGAATGACAATTGTCAGCTCTTCATCAGTGAGCATTCATTGTGCCCACCGCCTTGTAGTGACTCCCTGTTTCACCCCGCTTGGCACACCGTCTACCTTCCCGGTGGCCGAGGCTTGCAGGGGGTGCCCCGTGATCCACAATCCAACTCCTTCTCCATCTTCTGCTGCACGGACCCTTCCCAGCTCCTCTTGCAACTCTGCCCAGGAGGCTAGCCTGGGCCGCCCCTGGAGCCTGATGTGGGGCTGGCCTGGACACGCGCTCATCATTCAGTGGCTGTCCTTATTTCATCTCAGAGCAGAGGGGGGACCCGATGCCAGGGCAGCCGGGAGCAACAACCTGGCGGGACCCCGTCTACTCCTTCAGGCCCGCGTCTCCCTGCGCTCCCCACGCAGCCCCTCCCCCGTATGTCTGTCCGCTTCTCCCCAAGGCCGCGCTGGCCTGCACAGTTGTCCCTGGCTGTGTGGCTCAGGCCAGTGCAGTTCTGCCGTCTGACTCTGATCCCTCCTTCGCCCTGTCCTCGTCTGATCAACTCTGCCCTCTCCGTTTCACCCTCACCTCCCCCACCCGTGATCAGAGACACCGACAGGACTGGGATGGAGCAGGTGCCACCCAGAGGGACCCAGAGCAAGAGCTATGGGCACTCACAGGCCACTTCTAGCAGATATAGGCTTCCCTGCTGGGTCTAGAAACTTCAGTGGGATTGGATCAGGTTGGGGAAGAAATGTATCAGGAGAGGCACGGAGAAGAGGCAGTGTTGGCAGGCAGCACCGAAGGTCCGTCCACTCTGTGACTAGGGCTGGGCTCTGAGTAGGGCTTCAGGCTGGGCAGAGATGCTTAGATGACCAGGTGACCAGTGACAGAGGAAGGAGTCCTGCCCCAAGAGCTCACAGTCCCGTGAAGTGGTCACATAGCCCTGCTGATGCCATATAGGAGGGGTACCCCAGGCCATGCGGGCAGTAAGGGTGAGCTTTATATTTCTTTGGAGAGCATCTAGACAAGATGCACATAGAACAGGGCATTTGAGTAGGGGTTCTGAAGGATGTATAGGAGTTGGTAGGGAAGACAACTGGGAAAGGAGATTTCAGGGACAAAAAACAATGAGAAAATATTATAAAAATAGCTACATGATTTTACTGAGCAGCTACTTGAGTCCCTCACTGAGCTGGGTGCTCCCAGCTATTCCCTCCAGAGGTCCCAGCATGCTTTGTTCTCCAGGCCAGGAAGTTGGGCTCAGACAGGCTCAGGGGCTTGCCTGACCTCTGCTTTGCTCTGCTACCTGGTACTGCAGGGCAGGGCATTGAAAGAGGCATTGATTTAAGGTGACCCTGACAGTGAGTTGTTCAGTGTGCTGCCCTAGGGGCCTTGCTTGCCTCACCCTTTCCGAGGCCCTGGGGCCCTGGCGGAAAGGCCATTGCAGGGTGGCTGGAGAAGCAGGCCCATGAGGGCCCAGTTAGGAAAGAGCTTGTCAGCTACGTGTAGGAGCCCGAATCTTGATCCTGTGGGCGGTGGGAGAGGGGAGGACGGGAATTGACACGGAAGACGACCGTCTGCAAACTTTTGACAAAAAAATTCACAGAAATGTTTGAAAAGTAAAAAAGAACTTCTAAGTATAATTTTCTCACACCTGTCAGTATCCTTCCCATTCGTTGTGTGCAGCCCTGGTCTTTTTGTGCTGAAAAAGCCATCAGAAATGCCCGCGAACAGCCAGAGTGGAGGTGACAGAGGGCCGTTCGGTGTTTCCGTCTCCAGCTATTGATTAGAGCATCCTCTGAGCCCTTGACCTTTGCGGTGTCTTGCTTCTGGAAGCTGGCAGGAGGCACAGCCCGTGGCTCCATGACATCCAGGGCAGAGGCTCCTCTGTGGTTTTGGTCCGCACCCACCGACCTTCCCTGCACCGCCTGCCAAATGCTCTGCACGGTGCAGGGGCGAAGTGAGCTGGGCCGGCCCTGGGGATTTAGGTGGAGGCTGGCCAGAGGAAACTTCCAGGGTGGGCCTGGGGGGCAAAGTTGGGGTGCAAGAGACAGACCACATTTTATGTTTTTATAACTCATCTTTTGTTCTGACCCTTAGTGGCAGGAACCGCATCTACCTGGGACAGGAGAGAGATGGGGGGGTCCCAAATATGGGGATACAGGACTGGCACAGAGCTGGGAAGTAGCATGAGGGACTTTGGGGTGGGGGGGGCTGGAAGGCAGGGCATGCCTCTTGGGACATGTGATCGGCTCTCTGCTTCCCTATTTCAGAGCTGGGGGCTCTGGGCGCAGCAGGAGGGGCAGCCTCTCAGCCAGTTCCCATGGGGACAGCTAGAAAGGTTGTCAAATGTTTAAGTCCTTCCAGACTGGCCGGTAAATAGCTGCCAGCCCACCACTCCATCCTCTTCCCGGCTACCCGGGCCCACCCCAGCCCAGCTCCTACGGAGCTAATGCTTGGTTCGCTTGGCTCGTTACGGTGATGCTTGGGTCATGTTCGGTCCCCACCCTGCACCAGGGCCACGTGGGATCTGATTAACCAGTGAGCGTGTTGGTGGGCAGCCTGGTGAGACGGCCAGCCGCAGACGGAGCCCAGAAGAGCCGGTCCTGCTGTGTGGGAGCCTCCGTGTGTCGGGGAAGGCCCGGCTCTTCGGGGCAGCAGGGAGGGGATGCCGCCTGGGGAGCCGCTCACTGTGCACTCTGTCCCTGAGTGGGATCGTCCGCTAGGGGCAGCAGGCTGTCACCTTCAGGAGCCTTGTAAGCAACTTCCTGTGTGGAGCTCCTGGTCCGAGACAATAGGAGGTGGCTGGAGGGTGGCACATGAGACTCAAGCTCCATCTCTGGCGAGATTTGATTTTGCCACAATCCAGCAGGGCTCAGCCGCGAACACGCAGTGTGGCATGGGCAGAGGCCCAGGGCCCCAAGCAGTGCCCAGCCTCATCCAGGCCACTGCCCAGCATGTGCAAGCATCTTAGGACACCCCGTGGTCCGGGCATTCAGCACCCCAGTAGGCGGCAGTAGGGTGCTGCACAGCGAGTGCCGCTCTGGCTTCAAATCCCCATCCGCCACTTTCTTCTAGCTCTGCGTCTTGGGCATGGTTTTTAGCCATTGATGCCTCAGTTTTCCCGGCTATGAAATGGGAATGATAGTGGTACTGACCAGATGTTTTTATCGGGCGGTTAGATGAGGTAATGCTCGGTAGGGCTCCACACAGAATGTGGCTGAGAGTAAATGCTCAATAAACGTTGTTCCAAAAGCTGCTCCTTCCCTCCTTGGAGGGTCCATTCAGGTGTTTAGTTACAGGTTTGATGAAAGAATGAAGGAAGGACCATCCAGCGAGAGCCCAGGATGGAAACAGAGCTGTCTGTTATTCTGGCCCGTGGGGGCGAGCAGCCCAGTGATGGCCGTCCATTCTCTGTCCCCGCAGTGTTCGAAGAGCCCGAGGACCCCAGTAACCGCTCCTTCTTCTCGGAGATCATCTCCTCCGTGTCGGATGTGAAGTTCAGCCATAGTGGCCGGTACATGCTCACCCGGGATTATCTCACGGTCAAAGTCTGGGACCTGAATATGGAGGCGAGGCCCATAGAGACCTACCAGGTAGGTGCTGCAGCCCCTCCGCGGGGTGGGAGACCCCCCGGCCCCCTTTCCCTGTGCCCAGAATCCCCCCGGAGGGGACGTCCGTGGCCACAGAGGTGGCTTTCATACTCCCGTATTGGAGGTGAAGACACTCAGGCTCAGGAAATTAGGCAGTCCGTCTCCAGCCCCCCAGCTCGGCCGAGAGCAGAAGCACTTGCTCAGTCCTGCCTTGCGGGGTCAGTGGGTGCTGTCCGCTCGCTGGCCTCTGACCCGGGGCCCAAGGGAACAAGGATGAGCATCGTCAGGCTCGGCCCAGCTCGAGGGTTCAGGTGACTAAGGGTGTGGACGCGGTCCCTCCTCGGAGCCGGGGTCTGCAGCCCAGGTTAAGGAAGGAGAAGAGCTGCCCTACCCCCGGGGAGCACCCCTCCCGAGCGTGTGCAGGAGGCCGGGGGCGGGGGGATGCTATGTTTCTAGATCCTCAGGCACCGGCCTTGGAAGCCAGGCACTGGGGCTGAAGCAGGAGACCCCTCCCTGGAAAGGTATTTACCGACCAGTTTTCTGTTGTGATCCACCCAGCTCTATTAGGGGTGGAAAACAAAATTCATGGGATGTTAGAGTAAGACCTCACCAGAAGCCCCGGGCAAACCCTCACAGTGTCACCAAGTATTGGGCGCCCACAGGGGGTCACGCGCTTACCTTTGTCACCTCTGTTCCTTACTGTCCCCGCGAAGTGGGCACCATCCGCTCCACTTGGCGGGAAGGGATCCTGGGTGCCAAGACGCAGGACCAGTGGGACCTGCCCTCGCAGCTGGGCGGTGACGGATGCAGAGCCCTCGGGGCCCTCCAGCCCCTTCCCTGTCCTCCCTCCCTGCCAGCGCCTGGAGTAGGGGTGTCCCAGGAGGCAGGGGGGCCTCACTGGGAAGGGTGCAGAGCTGCGGGGAGAGGCCGGGAGCTCAGTCTGGAGGCCATATGCCCACAAGGACTTCTGATCCCTTCAGACCCTTCCCTGAGCTTCTACCTCTTCCTGGGAAGGGCTTGTGGAAGGGCCGTCATGGCTCCTGGTGGCAGCCCTATTGCTAGCCACATGTTTACCAGAGGTCCTGCCCAGTCCCCCAGTTGTCACCTAGGCCCCTCTTCACACTGTCCACCCCAGGGGGCATCAGCCCCTGCTCTGACCCTCAGGAGATGGCAGAGGCTGGGGATTGGGGCAGACATGGCACAGCCCCGGCTCAGGTGCAGGAGTGACCAGCCCCTCTTAGAGCCAGCCGGGGAATGACTGTCTCTACATCCACGGGGCCCCTCAGCCTTCCGAGGCCCTGGAGTCAGTAAAGGCCCACAGACCCTGAAACTAGGTGCTATGTTTAATACAGGCATTTTGCGGGGAGAGGGTCCATAGCCTCCAGAGATCTTCAGAGCATATGAGGACCCAATAAAGTGGAAGGAGACTGTTCTGGAGATAAGGCTGAGAGCCGGTGCTTGGCTTTTGGCCTGCTGGCCTATTGATTCTAAAATAACAATAGTTCTATAAAACCAACACAGTAACTAACATTTTTGGCTGTTATGCTCTAGAATTGTGTTCAGCAGGGTTGTGGTTGGCTGACTCACAGTGCTGAATGCATAGGGACTTCTCTCCCTTCAGAAGAAGTCTGGAAGGGGGCATCCAGGAACAGCGAGTGGCTCTGGGACCTCCTTGGTGTCCCAACAGCTCCTCCTGTGATCTAGTCCGCCATCATTTGTATATCGGTTCCCTGCTTTCATGTGCGACACCTCCTGGTGGCAAAATAGCTGCCCCACCTCCAGGAACTATGCCTACATTCCAGGAAGGAAATAGGAGGAAATGTGAAAGTCCGTGCTGGTTGGGTCTGTTGGATGTTTTCTTGGGAGCACAGAAGCTTTCCCAGAACACTCCTCAGAAGACTTCTTACAAGTTGTTGGCCAGAATGCATCTGTGACCAGGCTGGGGAATGAGTAGTTTTACAGCCTCTCCGAGGAAGGTAGGGGAGAGGGGTTGGCGATGGGTGTTGAGTGAGCCAGCCCTCAGCAAGCGCTGCCTTGAGCTGAGTTCTTGGCACACTTTTCCTCTTCTAAAGCCTCACAGCTGCCCTGGGAATTGGGGCCAGTGTTCTGTCGATTCCAGTTTATTTGGAGAAAATGGAATTAAATGGTGTATCTGCGGGAGCAGAGCTGACAAACCGCACACCTGGGATGGCTTTCCGGGGAGCCCACGCTCTTCCTTGATCTGCCATCAGAGGGCGCTCACCCTACAGGAGAGGGAGCAGGAGACCGGCTTGTGCCTGTGCTCGGACGAGTGCATCAGTGAGGCTGCTGAGACCGCACAGGGAGAGGAGTGCACACAGCAGTGCAGACCTGGAGGGGTTGAACACGAGCCCCCGAGAGTTTGTCTGTGGCCGTCAGTGAAGCCAGGCACCATTTGTCCCCACTCATCTGAGTCGTCACACATATTCGGCAGGTGTGTTCTGTGCCTGGCTAGACCCTGGGCTCAGGGAGAAGTGGGAGTCGCAGCCTCACCCTCCAGGGTCCTGGATGACAGGCACACAGTGAGCGTCGGCATGGTGTGGCCTCGGGCCAGGGGCTCACTGAGGTGGGGGAGGCTCCCCAAGGCGGGCACCTGTGTGAAAGAAATAGTACCCTCCCACATCTGTTGCCCATTTTTCTTGGGGACTCACAAGCAGGCCAGTGTCCCATCAGAGGCAGCCTGTGGCTGTAATGTCACCTGGCATGATTCCTCCTGCGGGGTTCTGTGTCGCCTTTCCCCTGGCCGTGCCGGCTCCCATGGAGGCAGGTGCTCCCCCCCCCCGCCCCCCAGCCATGCTCACCGTGGGAGGAGGGCGGGAGTCCCTGACCCAGTGACTCCAGCCCAGGTTTGGGCTGTTTCCAGGTGTCCTGGAGCCCTACCCTCTGCTTCCCTCCCTTTAGGTCTTGGAGATGCACAAGACCCCCACCCCCACCCCAGCCTCCTCTCTTGGGTCCCTCGCATAGCCCCCTGGGCCCTCCCCTTCCTGCTTCTCGGCCTCCTTCTCAGCCCATTGCAAGGCTCACCCTTCTCCTCCTAGCCTCTGGCTGGGGATGCAGGCCCATCCTCTCCCCACTGCGTGCCCTCCCCCGGACCCAGAGCCTTGCAGCTCCTGGAGGGCCATGAGTCAAGTCTCTAACCCCACTCATGCATTCTAAAAAGTGCATCGAGCTCCTGTGATGTACCAGGCCCTGTGCACCCCACTGGCAAACTGTGAGGAACAAGACAGATCCTGCCTCGAGGGGCGTCCGTTCCAACAGGAAAGATGGGCGGAAACCAAGCAAATAGACAAAATAATCACAGGCTGCCAAAAGTGTGACAAATAAAGCAAACCAGGGGCTGAGGCAAAGAAAGTAGGGGTGCTGGAGCCTGAGGGGGGTGAGGGCATCAGCCATCTGGGGGGAAGGTGCTCCCGGAGGAGGGAACAGTGGGTGCAAAGGTCCTGAGGCAGGCACATGGTTAGCGTGGTCAAGGAATGGTGGGGGGCTAGCTGGAGCAGCGTGAGCAGTGGGGAGAGAAGAAGAGTCTGAGGTCAGAGAGGTGATTGGGGGCAGAGCCCAGGGGGTTTGTGAGCCCTGGAGGGTCTTGAGCAGCAGTGTGACATGATCCAGCTTGGTTTCTTACGGGTCTCCCTGGCTGCCCATGGAGGGAGACTGGGGCTGGGGGGCATGGGCAGACACGGGAGAGCAGTCAGGAGGCGTTTGCCACGAGCTGGGAACTGGTGCTTGGAGAGGAAGCTGCACAGGACGTGGTGAGAAGCAGCTGGGCTCTGGATCACTTTGGATTCTGGACCAGCTGCATGTGGGGTGGGACTGACAAGAGGTGTGGGGAGGGATGCTGTTGTTGGTGGCCTTTGTGCCGGGAAGGCTGGGGGACGCTGGAGTGACCAGGGGCTCAGCAGTGGGCAGCCTCGATGGGCCCCTTGCCCATCCCCTTGGCAGCTGGATGGTCCCCTGTGTGCTTCGTCATCAGAGCATGGAGAGGATCGCACAGGAGTGCAGGCGGGGTTGGGGGGGAGGGCCGTGGAGCCCCCTTCATGGGGGGGCGGGCAGGTGGGGAAGTCACTGTGTGAGACCGGGGCGAACCTTCGGAGGGGAGGGGGTCCACTTGAACACAGAAAGTCGGGGCAGGAGCCACAGATGCCCCTGACACTCCGGAGGGGACGAGACGGTTCAGCCTGGGGACCCATGGGGGCGGCCGGTGGGGCACCCCTCCTTTTAAAGATGAGTAAGAGATTCCCAGACAGAAAAAGATGACCTTTTTCTTTCCTCTCCCCTCCCCCCCTCCCCTCCCTGCCCTTGACCCTTGGCTTGTGGCCTGAGTCGCTGCCCAATAGGAGTTGAACTGTATTTCTGTCTGTCCCTCCAGAGTTAATCAGGGTCCGAAATACCTATCGGTGCCTTGCTCCGCACTTGTCTGCTTGGGGGGGGGGGTCTCATGACCCCCCTTCTAGGTGGGAAACCTAAGGCTCACAGAGGTTAAGTGACTCTCTGGGTCACACAGGCGTTCGGGGTTGGGTTACCGCTGTCCCCTCCCCTTGCCCCACCCAGGGGGCAGGACCACATCCTCTGCGGGGAGCCAGCCCCCACGAGGCCCTCTGGGTGTAGAGCTTGGGGATCAGGCTGCTGGGAGGTGGACGCGGCCCCAGGGGCATCGCCATCTCTCCCATGGTATCAGGTGACTCTGGAAAAGGGTCCTGGTCTTCCACTTATAAGCTGTGTGACTTTGGGCCAGTTACTCACCCTCTCTGAGGGTCAGTGCCTCATCCACAAAACAGGACAAGTGATGCCTACTGAGATCATGTTCGAGAGGAACGTGTGCGTTCGCCTTCCCCTTTCCTCCATGATTTGTGCTCATGGTGACTTACTATCCTCAGAGGGCAAGACCCTACACCAGGCAGCCTCCTTGGGTTGATCCCACAACAGCCCATGAGGTATGTGCTCTTATCACTCGAAGGAGGAAGAAACCAAGGCTCAGAGAGGTGAAGTCACTTGTCCAGGATCACACAGCTGGGGGAGGGGCGGAGCCGGGATTTGGTCCCTACGGTGTGGTTCCCTTTGTCACTGTGACTGTCCCCTCTCTGGCCACAGCTCAGGGGTCGGCCGTGACAGGCGGTGGGCCCTTCTCAATAAGCAGGGCTGAGTCGGGACGGCCATCCGGACTCCCCCGAGGGCACAGCCCCTCACTCCTCAGGGAGACCCTTCTCGCTGCAGGGGCCAGGACCCCCCCTGCCCCAGCTCAGCCTGCGCCTTCTCTCACTAGGTCCATGATTACCTTCGGAGCAAGCTCTGTTCCCTGTATGAGAACGACTGCATTTTCGACAAGTTTGAATGTGCCTGGAACGGGAGCGACAGGTAACCCCCAGACCTGGGACCGAGGCCCCCTCGCTGGGCAGGGCCTGGGCTGCTGACCTAGCATTGTGCGAATGTGCTGTTCGTGAGCCTTGTTGAGTGACGGTGTCGGAGGGGGGCCCACGGCTTCTTGCGTGGCCCCCCCAGGGCCCTCAGCCCTCCCACGCTGGGGCGGGATAGGACGCCGCTGTCCATGACTACACCTGCCTCCACCCTGAGCCCTGGTGTCCTTAGTGGAAACTGTCCTTCTGGGTCCCTAGCCACACGGCCACTTCCCTGGGTTGTCGGGACTGAGGGCTGTACCTCCCTGGGGCGGAGAGCTTCAGCCAGTGGCATGCACCCTACCCCCACCCCGCATCAGAGCTGCCCCCGCCTCTTTCTGGCAGCTCCCCTAGGTCAGGCCTGCTGGGGCAGCGGCGGTGGGGGGGCACATTCCAACTCACCCACCTCTGGGGCTGGCAGGGGTTCCCCAAGTCCAGCCACGTCTCACAGCCCCACCCACCCAGGAAATGGCCTGATGTGAGCTCCCGATTCCCCATTGCTGGCTCAGCCCAGGGCAGGTCCAGACAGGAAGGCCTACGCTGTGACCATAGGGTGGGGGTGGGGAGGAGGGCCCAGAAACCACAGGGCCGGGCCGGGAGGGAGCCACCTGCACACAGGCTGGCCCCACGTGGGGCTGGGCCACCGTGTCTGGGGGTAGGGATCCCCTAGAGCTGCTGCTGACATCCTGGGGCTCCCCTGGCCCACAGGGGTCTCTGAGCAGGGCAATGCTCTCCATCAGACACCAGCATGCTGATCACAGGAGGTCTGTCCAATAACATTTAGAAAACCAGGGTGGAGGCCCTGCCTTGAGACCAGGCTGACACAGAGGGTCAGAAGGGACACACGGTATTCCCTCCAGGTGCCTGCACTCAGGCTGACCCCAGACACCCCCAGTCAGGACAGGGCTTCTCAGATACCCCTGAGCTGCAGACCCTGACACATTGGGGGCTCCCCAGTGAGCATCAGCAGTGGCTCTTGGGGTGGGGGGTCCATTAGAATCTCAGGAGAGAGACTTATTGCTGGCTAAAGGGGATTCCAACACTACTGGGGGGAGTTCTCCACTGGCCGTGACTGCTGCACGCCCTTCCTCCATGTCACCACCAGGGGGCACTCGTGAACAGACCATGCTTGGCTCCCAAGAGACGAGCCGCCAAGCTTGTCCTGGTTGGTGCCCAGCCTGGAGCTCAGCTCTGTTCCCAGTGCCTCTCATGCCACTTCCTGCCATGCACTTTACTTGGCAGCCACCCCCATCCCTGGGGGTCCTGCCACTCCCCTTAGTGGCTCCCCTTCACAACCAGCTCTGCTCCCGTACCCTGAAATCCTGGCTGCACTGCACCTAGTTCACTCCTGGGGTCACCTCAGATTACTGACTCAACTGAAGGCTTTCTCTTCCAGGAAGCCCTCAGGGCCCTCTCCATCTTGCTCCCCCCCCCCCCCCGCGCAACCTCCTGAATCTTCTATCTATGTCTTGGCATTTATCACGTTTTCTCCTTGCTTCCGCTTGCCTTCCCTGTTGGATGGGGTGCCCTTGGGGGTGTGCCTGGGGCCCAGCCCATCCTGAGCTGCTCCTTAGGGGTCTCAGGAGTGTCTAGTCAGTGGCTATTAATGTTCCAGAAGGCATAGGGGTGGGCCACCTCCTTCCACTTCATCCTGAACACCTCCTCCAGGAAGCTCTCCTTGATCTGTTCTGCCTAGGACAAAGAGATTTGTGTCAACCAGGCATCTTCCAGTTGCAGAAAGTCAGACAAGCCTAAGCTTGTTCTGGGCAGGTATAGGCAAGGCTACCCCAGGGCTCAGGTGTACCCTGGGACGATCGCTTTCTCTGTTCCCATCTCTGTGCTTTCCTACTTCTCCTTACACACTAGCCTCATCCTGTCCTGCAGCTCCCGTCACTGCTGGGGATGACGACGCTCCTAAATAGTTCCCCTGGCATTGACCTCACCGCCCACAACCCTCCCGGTGTCTTTGGGAAGGTCTCTTGGAGGGTCGGATTGGCTTCAGGTTACGTGCTTACTTTTTGAGCCAGTCAGCCTGGACACGATTATTGGATACCTCTCTTGGCCAGCAGGGGGCGTGTAGAGCCCGGAGCTCCACAGTCCCTCAGCTGTGCCCAGTGCAAAGAGCCCTGGGGACAAGAGCGGTGACTGAAGTCCCCCCCCCCCATGCAGATGAAGAAAATGAGGCGAGCAGAGGTGAAGCAACCTGTCTAGACACAGTCCGGGGGCCGGGGCTTTTCTCTGTTAAGGGAACCTTCTGGAATGTAAGCAGTGGGCCATTCTGTCCTGGCGTGGTTTGCAGGGAGCTGGGACCTGGTGCTCTGAGATGAGAGAGACCCTCCTCCTTGCAGGTGGGGAGGGGCTCCCTCTTCTGCCCAATTTTGTGGGTTGCCAGTGACTTTAGTGACCTCACTCGGCCTTCCCCTTGGTGGATCAGAAGCTGGGGTAGGGGACTGGGGGCAGCTGCCTTCCCATTTTCTCTGCCCCCCTGGCCTGGAGGTGGCGGGGGGGGGGGCTCCAGCAGGACCCTTCCCTGAGAATCATTCCTCATCCACTCTTCCCTTCCACTGCCCTAGTTGGGGCATCCTGTCTCCGACCAAGCCGGGGCTTCAGGCCAGGGCAACGATTAGAATCAAGAAATACCTCTTGGAGTTTTCCGGGCCCCACACTGCCCCGTTTTACCAAGAATCCCATACCATGCTCACCAGGAGTTGGGGTTCCTCGTTACCCCCCTTTTATTGATGGAAAAGCCTGCATGAAGGTGGGGGGCACGTTAAGGGCAGAGCTAAAATTTGGACCCCAGGGGTGCTGGCCCGAGCACCTGCCCACGATACCTGGGCTCGGGGCATGCCTTTGCCTTTTAGGCCCAAGTAAAGCAGGTGGAGAGAGAAAGGCCTCTGACCCCATTTTTTACGGTGAGGCCAGTCACCAGCCCCTGACCGCCCAGAGCCTGGGGCTGCCCCACCACGTTCCTGACCCCAGTCTGAGCTCCGCAGCAGCTGCTCTGGGCCTAGGGAGGGGAGGCCTTGGCCCCATGGGGATCTCAGACTCGCCGTCCAGTGTGGGTGTTGGAAACCACAGCTGCGCCCTGGCCCCGGGCTCCTGAGTCTGCCCCCGAGGAGGGCTGCTGTGGGTTTTGTGAGCACCCCGGGTGGGTCTCTGGCCAACACGTGGCCCCTCTCCTCTGCAGGCTCTGGGAGTGACCACCGAATAGGGCAGCCCGGTGCAGGGCGGAGGTCACAGGGTGAGGCCAGACGAAGGAGGGGGTGCCACAGCTGCTCGCCCTGGGGGAAGGGGAGAGCCCCCCTTCTCTTGCTGGCATCTCAGCACTGTCCCCTGAGTCCCAGGGCCGGGCACAGTCGGTGACGAGGAGGGAGCAGAAGCAGGAATCACCTTCTAATAAAGCTTGTGGCCAAGGGCATCTGGGCTCATCAGCATGGCCTACCTGTGCATTTGCTGTGGGCTCCTGGCAGGTGGGGGCCTTCCCCGTGGCCCAGCCTGGCACAGCACCTGACACCAGGGGGCACCCGCTGTGCGAGTGAGGGGGGCATCTGGCAGGGCCACAGGCGGGTCCCCCCGACTCCGCCCTTGTCTGCTGAGCCAGACAGGCCTGATGGGTTGCTGTCCTGGGTCGGGAGGTCAGAGTTCATCCCAGCTGGTGACCCCCGAGGTCTGAGCATCCCCCTCTGCAGGGCGCGTGGCACAGTCTGCCCCTAACGTGCTTCCTGTCTGTGCAGGTATGAGCCTGGGATCTGCAGATTCCAGTCTTGGGACCCCCAAGAGCACAGGGCACCAGGGACACAGCAGAGATGGGACCCGGTGCCTATGTGGCAGGACCCTGTGGTTTGCGGGGCACAGACTAAGCAAAGCTCAGAGGGAAGCCCTGGGCAGGAGGGGAGTGGCTGGGGGCCCATCAGGGGAGGGGTTTGGGGGTGGCCTCCTGGAGGAGGTGCCCTCAAGTCTCAAGAAACCAGTAGAAATTTGCCCACAGAGGGCGGAAGGGCACTGGGGCATAGGGAACAGCCATGGCAAAAGCCTCAGGAAAGGAAGCGGCCATAGCTGATGTTGAGGGCCAACGGATGTGGCCATAGCTCGGTGTTGAGGGCAGAGGTTAAGTCTCAGGGTGAATAAGTGCTCTTGGGCGTCCCTGGGGTGGGTGCTGTGAGAGAGTCCAGCATGGGGGGTAATGGGCTTGGGGGTCAGCAGCAGGGGGACCAGTGAGCAGGCTGTTGCAGCCGTCCCTCGGGGCCAGAGACAAGGGTGATGTGGGCGGTGAAGGTAGAGGAGAAGGGCTGGAGTCAAACCACCCTCAGGGCATCTGAGGATGGACAAGAGCTGGGTCGCGTACACCCTTGGGGGTGGCCCCGGGGGCCGGGGTTTCCCATCCACCGTCCACCACAGAGACCCGGGTGGAGCCTTTGAGAAAACATACCCGCTTTTCTGGAAAGCAAGAGATGTGTGCAGAAACTCCCCAGGGGGGTCGTCACCTCCCGGGCTGCATGAGGATGTGTCCCTGAATGTCCACTCGTTATTGCAAGAGTTAGCCAACGAGCCCCCTGCAGCCCCCTGCCCATCAGCCTCGGGACTCTGGCACTGGGCCGCAGGGTGGCCCCTCTTGCCCCTCAACCTCGGTGGCAACGCTGACGTCATCTGGTCCTGGTCCCCAGCTCTGTCCTCCAGCACGGGCCTTCTAAAGCCCCTAACACGGGCACTCCACGGGCTGGGCCCCAGCAGCCCCCTGGACTGACTGGCGTCCCTAGGTCTCCAGTGGGCTCCCTGGGGCCTGATGTAGGGGGCCTGTCTTTCCACAGGAGAACAGCTCTGGGTCTCTGACCTGTTGCCCACTGTCCCCTTCCCGTGGCCTGGTCTCAGTTCTGAGCTGCAGCTCGAGGGAGGGCACTCGGGTGATGGCCTGGCCCGGCCCAGGGTCCCACGCTGGACTGTCACCTGTTGGCTGCGGTGGCCAGACGCCTGGATTCCGAGGGCTGCCACTGGCCCGCACGCCAGCTCTGAGGGCAGCTCTGTGACAAGCCCCGTGGGCTTGGGTTCCAATGACGAAGTCACCAGCCCACTGCCCGTTCTCACACGGGAGGATCCGTGCTACGCGGGGGAGGCCTCACGGGTCACAACCTGGGGGGAAGTTCGAGCCAACCCGGCCCTCCTCGGGACGAACTGATGTGTGAGGAGAGGGGCTTCTCCTGGAAGATGGGAGCGGGAAGGCCTCTCCCCACACAGCACGGCCCTGCACCTCCCCACGAGCCATGTCTTTGTCTCTACAAGCAACGGGTTTGTTCCCATGGATTAAGGTTATATAGGCAGAGTTAGAGAACAGAAGAGAGTAGAGCCAGCCTGCCTTCCCCTCCAGAGATGCCACAGACCTCCAGAAAAGGCTGAACTGCCTGGCTGCGCCCCTCCCCCAGGCACAGCTACAGAGAGGCCCCTCCGCCCGCCCGGCCCTGTGCCGGGTCAGGTGCAGAGTGGGGGTGGGCGAGGCGGCCTCCTGCTTTCCTAGGACTCCCCCCGGGGGTCTTTGTGAAGGCCTGTGACCCTTCTGCTGCATTCACTCACTCATGCGCGCAGATACCCCTAGAGCACCCATGGGGTGCTCTGAACTTGCACGTGCCGCAGTGAACAAGAGAAGCTTCTGGCCCTTCCTTCCCTACAGTTCACAGAGCATCTGTGGCCTTTTCCCCGAGCACCAGGCCAGGGTGCTCGGCTTGGCCCCGTTGTGTTTGCGGCTGAGGGTTGGCATTTGCTCCCCCGATGAGGCCAAGCCAGGCCTTGGGGCTCAGACAAGACACGCCTGCCCCAGGAGCCCCCACCGAGTGGTGGAGACAGGCCCCCCAGACGCTGGCCCGTGGTGGCTAGCGCCGTGAGGCGTTCCCCGCCTGCCCCTCTGGCTCCCGACCGCCAGGGGCTGGCTCGACGGCCGCCGTGCCCTCTGGCTTGTGGCCAGCTTTAACCAGTGGGGACACCAGAAGGAGGTCTGAGGGCAGCAGAGAGAGACAGGGTATTTGTCCCACCTCCCTCCTTGTCCTCTGAGCCAACTGTGTCCCTGTGGGCACAACTCTAGTCAGCCACCTTCTTCACACAGATCTGTCTCTCTGTCTGTCAGCCTTCCTCCCCTCACCCCTCAGACCTGGGGGGGATGTTGCAGCCCCAGGGCTCGGCACTTTCCCTGTGGTTCCCTTAGAACCTTCCAGAACATTTGTGCATAACCTCTTTATGGAGCTCTTCTCCAGTCACCCACTTGGCATGTGACCCCCGCCTGGGTCTGCCTGGACACCCCAGGAACATCGCAGAAGAACCGCTTTCTGGAAGAGGTTTTCCACCCCCACTGCCCCCAAGCACCCTCCCCCGCCCACTGATCTCGCAACACAAGGTCTGACAAAGCAGTTTGGGTGGCAGGGGGAGGGGACACCAGAGGGTGGCACTGAGGATTGTGGACTCTAAGCCTCGCCTCGTGGGTGCAGGCCGTTTCCGGGAACCGCACGCACAGGGCAGGCAGGGGAGGCGCCGAAGCCGCTCGTGGGTGGGAACCCAAAACCTCTACTTCCCTCCAAGGAACTATTGGCCAAGACTCGCCAGGCGCCGAGAACCCGAGGTCCTTCCTGGGAAGGATCGGAACTCTGAGGGGCTGCCTTCTCAGTGGGAAAGGAGACAGACAGTTGTCAGCCCAGCCCCTGCCCTCTGCCGGGGAGATCGCTCCCCTCGGGCAGGTCCAGGAGCCAGGCCACTGTGAGGCCTCCCCACTGCACACCCCACCCCTCCATCTAGAAGGGGCTGACATTGAGAGATGGCCCACCGGCTCTGGTAGAGATGCTGTGGGGAGGGAGGCCCCCCTTCTACTCTCCTCGTGTGTGTTTAGCAGCCCACGTTCTCCCATGGAAGGGGACACGTTACAAGGAGACATGTCACTTTCAGCCTGTGACTCAGCATCATCCAGGGCCCCCGAACCCCCCCGTGAGCGTCTGACCTCCCACAGCCCAGGTGCCTGATACGAGAACATCTCCCGGTCTGTCCAGGGGACGTCTGCCTCCGGCATCTCCTGCTCGTCTGCACTGCTCCCCTGACTTTGGCGATCTTGAAGACATGGCCTGTGTGCATAACCCCTGTAAACTAGGGGTCCACGGGGCTCTGTCTCGGAGCAGTGACACCCCAAGAAACACGCTCAGCTTCCCAAGGGAGGAAAGGAGTTCCAATGTGTACGCACCCTCCTGAAGAACGTTGAAGGGGTCCTCATTTCCTGGAATGCCCTCCCTCCTTATTTTGCCCCCCTCTCCCTGCCTGGCTCCCTGCCTGGCTGCTCCAGGGCCTCTCCTGAGCCAAACCCCAAAACCCCTTCTCTGGGCCCAGGCCCCATAGCTGGCATCCTGGCTCTCCCAGCTCTTACCGTGCAGACTGACATGGCCTTTCTCCCATGCCCCAGGAACCCCCTTCTTCTTGGGGGAGGTGGGGGGAAGAGAAATGCAGTGGATCACGAACGTCAGATTCTCTAGCAGGACAGGGAAGTGCATGAACATCTGCACAGCACCGGTATGCAAAGAGCATTTAGTCTTAACTCAGCTACTCAGAACAGGAGGGTGCTGGGTGCCCACGGTGAAGGGTGCGGCGGGTGGGGTCGGGGCCAGCCCTGGGTCGGCCTTGGAGCCTGCAGTTGGGCCGGCGGCTTTCCCTCTGCTGGTGCCTAGTCTCTCTGGAAGGCCAGGCCTCTCCTGGAGGCAAGGGAGAGGACAGGAGAATTTTCCCCGTGGTGTCTGGGGTAGAGCATTAAGGGGTCTTAGGGGAGCCCGCGTGTGGATGGCAGCTGAGCTGTGAGGGGGGACCAGAGCCCAAGAGGAGGGAAGGTGGGGACCGGACCGTCCCTTCCCCTGGGGGAGGGGGTGGCCCTGTAGCCCCGGGTTTGTCCCCGGGGGCATGGCACATTTCCACTGGCCTCCTCCCCACCTGACGTCTCTCCTCCTCCCGCCAGCGTCATCATGACAGGGGCCTACAACAACTTCTTCCGCATGTTTGACCGGAACACCAAGCGCGATGTGACCCTGGAGGCGTCGAGGGAGAGCAGCAAGCCCCGGGCCGTGCTCAAGCCGCGGCGCGTGTGCGTGGGTGGCAAGCGCAGGCGGGACGACATCAGCGTGGACAGCCTGGACTTCACCAAGAAGATCCTGCACACGGCCTGGCACCCGGCCGAGAACATCATCGCCATCGCGGCCACCAACAACCTGTACATCTTCCAGGACAAGGTGAACTCCGAGATGCACTAGGTGCGCGTGGAGCCCCGTCCCGGACACGAGCAGCGCAGCCCGGAGCGGCCCTGTCCCTCCGGCCCAGGCGGCCTCTGCTGGCCACACTCTCTGTTTGAAAACAGGAGTCAGGAGGGCTCATAGCCAGACCGTGAAATGGACGTGATCGTGGCCTTGGGGTCCAGGCCCTTCATTCCCGTACTTAACCGTGAGCTGCCTGTTCCACGATTAGGACTTAGACATCTCCGGGTTCATGCTTCTCTTCTTCCAGCAGCAACTTTCAGGGGAAGTGGGCGTCCTGGGAACCCCTCTCCCCCGGGCCCCAGATCAGGGTTCTGGGGACAGAGGACAGACTCAAGCCAGCCAGGGATTCTTTTGGTTATCAATGGAGCAATTTCCACTGTCTCAGAGCCAAGGGTCTTCCCTTGGCCTTTTGGATCGTGAATTCATGCTGAGAATTGACAGGTGCAAGCTCCTCTTTTAGGGTCTTTTAGTGTCTTTCAATACCCCAGGTCTGGCGTTTCCTGAGAGGAAAGGGGGCACTGAAACCTGCCTGTGTGTGTGTGCTTGTTCTTCTCACCGTGTACCCAGCCTTTGCTGAGCGTGGGCCGGGGGCCAGGCACGGTGCTCGGCCCGTTAGGCGCGTGGATTCAGCCCCCACTCCGTGGGGCTCTCCTGTCCTGCTTCACGGTCACTGGGCACCTCGTGGGAGCTCACGTGGGCCCTGTCCGTGACCCTGTAAGGTGGGTGTCCGTTCACGTACTCCATAAACACCAGCCCCTCAGTGAGTGCCAGGCTCTGTGCCAGGCGCCAGGGACGAAAGGTGAATAATTATCATCCCCACTATACACACGAGGCAACGGGCCCCGACAGAACGAACAGTTTGTCCAAGGCACTCAGCGACCAAGTGGTGGAGTCAGGAATCCTGAGCACTGGGCGCTTTCCAATCCACCACGTTGGCGGCTCGTGTTAAAGCAGCGTTCTTGCCTGGAAGGTTCTGGAAACACCTCTTCATCTTAGGAGGTGGGCGATGACAAGGGTCCGGGGCGACCCGAGCCGCAGCACGGAGAATGGAGAAGACCCCGGTGGTGCCAAGCTCTGTGTGGTGACTTCAGACCCCCACCCTCTTGGGGGCGCCTCACTGCACCCACATCTGTACCCCAGCCCCTTGTTTAGGTGCACTGAGCTGCCTCCAGGAGGAAATTGCATGTTAGGACCATTTCAAGATACATTTTCTTTAATGACCCGGCCTCGGAGGACTCTTTCCTGAGGGCCTCAGAGAATGCCTGTCTCCGCAGCACCTGCTCCTGCCACGTGGTCGTGGAGACCGTCTCCCCCACCCCCCACTCGTCTTCTCTGCCTACAATTACAGCGAACCACTGGCTGTGCGTGGGATTCAGAGAACAGAGTGCAGAGGCCGAAGCCAACATTTTTTTTTTACAAGAAGTAACCCAACCCAGGAAACAGACCCACCCGAGATTTTTCTCAGTGGATAATGGTATACTTTTGTGTGTGTCAAAGCACAAAGCGCATGTGCATTCACTTCTGGCCATATGATATTTACACAAGGAAATGAGTCCATTGTTTCGTTTTGGGTTTGTTTTTTAAATCAACATGAATGAAGAATGTTTGTTTATATATCACTGTAAAATCCAGGTGACCTGGACAGTATTATATGTACATATCTATTCTAATTAAAATTAACAATCACAGGATTGGATTCCTTTTTTTCCCCCTTTGTAAAGAGGTTCAAGAATGTGGTACCTTGTATAGAAAACTTGTTGAAGCCAAAATCCAGCTCTGAGGGCCTTACACAATTACGCGGATATTTGGCACAATCCGTTTCCCTTTGTGATTCAAACGCTAAGAGGAGACTTGCTTTTGCAGCTGGAGGTTACTGTCAGATCGTAGATTTCACATTTACCGTCTACAGAGTAACAACCCTTAACACTGCTTTCAAAGGGAGGTCTTAATACAGTTCCTGGTTCTTTACTCCTGTTTTAAACTTTGGATACCAAGCCAAAAAGGAAAAGAAAGAAAGAAAACGATCTTAGAGGAAAAGCATGTCTTCAGATCCCTGGAAAATCGTGATGTCCAAAGCAAGTTGTGAATAATGACACATGTTGGGGCGGGGGGGGCAAGACTAGACGTATGTGGCAGATGGGCCAGTAAAATAGTCACAAACTCTGCTTCTTACTGTTTAAATTTTCTGCTCTTCTTGAATGTATGAGCGTTCACATAGTCATTGTGAAGTTGTTGGGTTGTTCTGTTTTTATTCTAATACTCTGAGGACTGAGCTCCTGGTGGCGTCGGGTATTGTGGTGGTAGGTAGACAGACCTGATCACTTTGGATTCCATAGCTCATGGGTGCATTCTGGTTTTCTTCGGTATCTCAGATTATTCAACTGTTGAATAAAATTATAAATATGTTAATACCAGCTTTTTCCAATAAAATAACAAATGTTACATCGAACATGAGACTCAGAATGCCGTTTGTTTCTAACGAGGCCAAGCCCAGGGCGGTGGGTGCTGGTTCACCTCAAGGCTCTGTGACTTCTAGCTCTTGATGAAGTTTTTAACCTTTATGAGCTCTGATTTCATCACTGGAGAAATGGAGCTAACCTCGTGAATCGGATAGCACCTGCAAAGCATAGTGTCTGGCACATAAGCTCTCAATAACTGATGGTTGTTTTGCCCTTTGTTTTGTTTTGAAGCAGGTGCACATAGCCCACCATGATTTCCAGTGTTCTCACACTCTGTCATGATCTTTTTCACCACTTCACCGTGAAGGTATGGTACAGATGAGGACATGGAGGTCCAGAGAGGTTAAGGAAGTAGCACGAGATCACACATCGTGTGTTGGAGCGGGTTTCAAGCCGCTGACCCACATACTCGTCTGGGCTCCATGTTATCCCTTTTGCAGGGGAAGAGGAGAATCCTGCTGTTATACCCACTCTACAGATAGAGAAACTGGGGCTCAGAGAGGTGAAGTGATTTAACCTGCGCCCAAATTCACAGAACCAAGGAGTGGTGGAATCCGGATTCAAACTCGGATGGTGAATGTGCCAGGCACATGGTGGGTGCTCAGAGGATGGTCAGGAACGTCATGGCCTTGCTGACTAAGCACCAGCTCGGGGCTGTGCACGTGTGACCTTGAGATGAGAGGTTATCCCGGGTCATCTGGCAGCACCCATCTGTCATATGAGTCCTTGTCAGCAGAGAACCTCAGAGGAAGAGGAGGCAAGAGACGGAAGGTCAGATGTGGCAGGAGGGTCCCACCTGTGCCATTTTTGGCTCTGAAGATGGGGGAGGGGGCAGTCCACAGGCCCAGGAACATGGGCGCCCCGATTTATTCCTCACTGACTCCCATAACAACTCTGAAATGCCCATCCTTACAGCCTTGATTTCTCAGAGGAGTTATCTGAAGCCCCGGAAGTTTAGGGCACCTGCCCAAGGCTCACTGCCCACATGGTAATGACCACACTAGTGACCACTGAGGGCCACCAACTCAGTCCTTTGCAGTCATTATTTCATGCCATGGTAGACCCACGTGGTAGGTACTATTACTGCTCCTGTTCTAGAGATGAGGAACTCGAGGCTCAGAGAGGTTAGAGAACTTGCCCAGGACCACACGGTAAGGGCAGAGCTAGAACCCACGTGTCTGAGACTTGTGTCCTGTGCAGTCATAGGTTCTGGAGCTGGGGTCTGACCTTAATCCTGTCTTGACCTCAGTGCCCGGTTCTTCTGGCATCGACAACCCTGGGGCAAAGAGTGGCCAACTGCGTGCAGCTTGCAAAATCAAGAGACAACTTTATGATTTCTACTGGTACTAGATTCCTTATTTACGTGCCCCTCAAAGTTGCCGCACGGGAACTTCTGCTACTTTTCACTGAAAGGGGGCCCTCTTGCCGAAATTCACACAGCCTCCTCGTTTTAACTTAGACGTGAAGTCCTCCAGGTTGGAAAGTGCCTGGGGAAGGCGTGTCCAGGGGTCAGAGCAGCTGTAAGAGCCGGACTGGGGGGTCGGGGGGAACCCCGCTGTGGTCAGGGGCCTGCTGGGCACTTCTTTGTTCATCTTCTGCAGTCCTGAGAGGGATCCCTGAGGAAGTGAGGCTTGGGCATCTGACAAACCCCAAGTCACGTAACTGGTGGCTGGTGGGACAGAGATTTGGGTGGTGCTCAGACCCCTCCTCAAGCAGGACAACAGGGAGTCTCTGACCAGGAGGACAAATGATCTTGGCAGGAGCGGGGACTCGATGAGAGGGGACCGGGGGCCAGTGTAGGCGACCCCACGGCATCTTTTCAATCTAGCTTAGCTCTGGGCTGACTTGGAACATCGCCGTGGCCCCATGGGCAGAAAAACTGCACTTGCTTTAAGCTTCGTTAAAGTAAACTGAGGCAGGAGTGATCAAAACATCTAGAAAAATACGACGGATTCAAGTAAGGAAAAAGTGTGGGGCCACCCCCCTTGGCTGGCAAATCCAACAGTCTAGGAGTCTTCATGACAACAGTTGAAGGCACCTGGGGCCTTTTAAGGGATTTGGGGGCGAGATTCTGGACGAGACAGGGCTGCTGGCCTGGGGATATGCTGGGGGCACAGCTATAGGAGACCCGGGTTCAATCCCAGGTTTAATCGCAGCCTCGTCACTGACCAGCATGTAGGCTGTATTTGTTTGTTATCTACTGCCACCTAACAAATGGCCCCCCAGCGTAGAGGTTTGAAACAACGGCATTTATGGTCTCACACGGTTTCTGAAAGTCGGGAATCGGACATCGATGAGCTGGGTGTTTCTGGCTCAGGGCATCCTTCACCTGTGAAGAACTGACTGGGGCGGAGGTTCTGTTTCCAGGCTCACTTACACGGCTTGAGGCTTTGGTTCCTTGCCGCATGGGCTGTCCCCAGCGTAGCCTACTCACCCAGGGTGACCGATCTAAGAGACAGCGCCCAAGCCAAAAGCCACGGTCTTTCTGTAATCTCCGGGGTGCTACCTTGGATTGGTCACACAGCCCGATCCTGGGGCCACAGGGCAAGAAGCTGCAGCAG